CACTCCTGGCATGCCACAGCCTCGTGGTCCGGAGATCGTGTGCTGGCCGTTGGCTACTGTCTGAAAGCCACTGCCAAACTTGGAGACGACGCTCGAGATGAGCTTAAGGGTCTAGGCTTTCGGTTGCCCCTAAAGCCCCAGCGGTCTTTTGCAGAATCCCACCTTGCTGCCTCGCCTCAGGCCTGGGATGTGTCTACCCTTCGGGTTGAACTGAATACTGCAAATCAGCTCTTGAGCTCCAAGTTGTCTGGCGTCGCCGAAGACGCAGCCAATGCATGTGCAGCTGCGTTCCTGCAAGTGGAGAACGCAGCCTGGGACGTGTATCAAGATTCCATGCTGTCCTACCAACAGGCCACTGGGGAGCAACTAGACCTTTTGGAAATCTATGCCAATCCCGATAGTCGATTAACTGAATGGGTAAATTCTCAGGGAGGTAGAGCTAGGCGGTTCACACAGGAAGATGGCGACCTAACAACAGCTGAAGGGCAGAGGCAGTTGTGGAATCTTCTTCAACAGACTCAGCCTCGTCACGTGTGGATGTCACCGAGCAATAAGGCTTGGTGCTCATGGGTATCTTTGAATCGTGCCCGGAGTCCCAAGAACGAGGGAGAGGTGAAAGGAGAGTTAGAAAGGGCCCAAGTACACCTTAGGTTGTGTTCTAAGATCTGTTCCTGGCAAAAGAAGAATCAGCGACACTTCCATTTCGAGCAATCAGCCCCTGACAGGTCGTTTCAGACTGTTGCATGGCCAGTCATGTCAAGCCGGATCTTACTGCACCGGATTCGCCAAGCTTGTAGCTCAGCAGCTTTTGTGTAGAAGTGCAGACACCGCTATGGTGCTAGACGAGGGGATCCCACTAACGCGTAAGCGCTTTAAGACTTCCCTAGGCCTGTCCCAAGCCCGGAACACTCTGCGTATTCAGAAACGATCAAGTCCGATACCTGTTGAAGCTGACCAGCGTAGTCGACCTCGTCATAGAACAGATGTACCAGGACCGGTGTCAGAATGCGCTACGACAGCGCTACCTGAAGACGTGTGGTCATCAGTGTTCGAGGCTGCTGCTGAACATGCTGTTAGAGCCTCACCCACTCTAGTGCCGCCTCAGAGCTCCCTGGTAGATCTTCTTCAGAGACAGCTCAGTCAAGTTAGGGTACTTCAGGTATTTGTGGGCAAGGGATGTAAGCAACTTCATTCCCCAGTCGGAGCTCTGCCAAACCAAGTGGCCCCGTGGAGAATCAGCCTCTGCAAGCGACAATCAGATGGTCAGCCAGTTGCCTTTCAGATGTTGGGTCAGGAAGATCGCTCATCCATGCGAGCAGAACGCAAGAGAGCCCGCATTCCCTCAGCCGATATCCTGATAACCATATTTGCCCAAAATCAGGCTACCCAACAGTCTAGACAAGAAAGCCCAGGCGAACCAAACGCTTCCGAACCCAACACCACTGCTGCTCCTCCTGACTTAGAAGGATGGGGACCACCTCCGATTCCGATTCATGGCCCAGCGTTCCGAAGCCTAGATAAGGACCTCAAGACCCGGTTAATCCGTGCACATAATAATCTTGGCCATCCACCGCCCAAAAAGTTTTCAGAGCATTTGCGAGCAGCCGGAGAGAGTCCTGCTCTAGTCGAAGCAGCACTAGACTATCAATGTGATGTGTGTTTAGAATCCACCGTGCCTCGTCACCAACGGCCTAGCAAACTATCCAACCCAAAAGAATTTAATGATGTTTTAGGCATAGATGGTTTCTTCTTCAAAGGGCAGTCTGGTTACCGAGCGTACATAGTCCATGTTCTTGATGAAGCAAGTTGTTTTCACCTGGGTCGACGTTCCAGTTCTCGGCTTGGAGCTGAAGCCTTGCAGACGTTAGGAGAATGTTGGTTCTCTTGGGCTGGAACACCTCAACTTGTGTACCTTGATCCCGCAGGTGAGTTTCGGTCGGAGGCCACTCTTGATGCCTTTCAGAATCATAACATCAAAACGTTCGTAACCTCAGCTGCCTGGCAGCGAGGAAGGATTGAGCGACATGGGGACATTGTCAAAAATATGCTAGGGAGGTTAGACAAGGATGTGCCCATCACCAGTGATATGCAACTAGATCAAGCCCTCCAGCAGGTGTTCAATGCCAAGAATGCCCTTGTACGACACAAGGGATATGCTCCAGAACAGATCGTGCTAGGCAAATCAGTGCGGATCCCCGGTAGCGTATCGTCTGATGAAGAGCTTAGTGCCCACTCACTGACTGAGGGTAGCGACTTAGAAGCAGAAGCGCATCGAAGAAGACTGCAGCTGCGCTGCCAAGCTCGTCAAGCGTTCTTTGAAGCGGATAATTGCCAGACGATTCGCCGTGCCATGCTCAGAAGGAGCAATCCTACCAGAGGCCCGTACGCTGCTGGTTCCTGGGTGTTGTACTGGACTAAGAAGTCATCGCCTAACAGGCTAGCCGCAGGCAAATGGCATGGACCTGCCAAGGTCATCTGTCAAGAGGGGCAGTCAATAGTCTGGGTTGCTCATGGCTCCACCATACTTAGATGTGCCCCCGAGAATTTGCGGCCAGCTTCTTTGCGAGAATGGCAGAACCTGTCCACATCTGGTTCAGAAGAGTTGTCTTCCCGTGCTGGAGGTGCGAGTACCTTCATCGACTTAACAGCCCCGAATCCCGAAGTCCCTAGCAGCCTTTCCCCTGCACCAATCCTGCGCAGCTCTTCCGAGACCACAGATGTCGTGGTACCAGTTTCCATGCCTGGCGCCCCTGCTGCTCAGGGATCAGATGCTTCAGAGCTCGAAATTAATCAACCTGAACAGGAGCTTACGCCGCAGGTTAGTTCCCATGAGCCAGAAGCACCTGCCTCCCTTGATGCGCCAGAGGTTGAGCTCAACTCTGCAGCTCCTTCTGTTTCGGTGCAGCCGACTAGTGAGACTGTGGAGTCTCTGGCTCCAGATGCCACCAATATTCCCGTTCCTGAGTCTGATGAGGGTCTAGTGTCCGAGACGGTGTTGTTGGCTAGTCATGTCCTTGATCCTCTAAGCACCCAGGATGACCGCCTTGTAGACTTTGTCACTCTCCACACGAGTGAAGAGTTCGCCGGACCTCCACTGGCTGAAGACAACCTTCCTTTTGTAGAATGCCCATTGGAATGTCAAGAGCATCAGGCCTTTTGCCTCGAAGTGCCCGTCAAGCCCAAGGATCTCAAAAAGTGGAGCCAGGAGACTTCCCCCGAACAGCTTGCAACTTTGGCTTCCATAAGCAAAAGGGCCCGGTCTGAAGTGAGTGTTAAGGATTTAACGCCGCATGAGTTGTCCCTTTTTGAACAAGCCAAAGCCAAAGAGTTGCAGTGCTGGATCCAGACTTCAGCAATCCGCGCTGTGCTTCGCCGACGGTTGAATCCCGACCAAATCCTGAAAAGTCGGTGGATCTTGACTTGGAAAGCCCCAGAGCCTGGTGACACACAACCCCGCGCTAAGGCCCGCTTAGTAGTCCTTGGGTTCCAATCCCCTAAACTAGTTGAGGTGATGAGAGATGCGCCGACGCTGTCAAAGGAAGGCAGATCTTTGGTCCTTCAGACAATTGCATCAAGTAAATTTCCTCTGGGATCCTTTGACATCAAGACAGCTTTCTTGAGAGGGAAGGCCGATGAAAATAATCCCTTGGCCATGGAACCACCCAAGGAGCTCCGTAAACTCCTTAATCTCCGTGACGATGAAGTGTGCCAGTTGTTGGGCAATGCCTACGGGAGAGTTGATGCCCCACTTTTGTTTTACAAAGAGCTTTCCTCCCAGTTGGAAGCACTGGGATTTATTAAGCATCCACTTGAGCCGTGTGTGTTTCTTCTGTATACAGGGA